TTGTTCAGGCAKGTCAGGCGTACCCTTAAGTTAAGGYGGCCTGGTCATATTGTCTTATGTACCTAAAYCTGTTTAAGCTGGCTAGGCGTACCCTTAAGTTAGGGCGGYCTAGTGATATGCTCTTGTCGTTGATGTTATGTAGGTTGGACGTACCCTTAAGTTAGGGCGGTCCGACCATTCGTCRTTCGTACTTGTTTTAGGCAGGTTAGGCACACCCCTAAGTTGGGGCAGCCTAATCCTATGCCCTACGTAACTTTGTCTATGAGCTGACTAGACATACCCTTAAGTTAGGGCAGTCTAGTTTATGCTTTATGTCGTCAGTTAAGCAGAAGCCAGACGTACCCTTAAGTTAGGGCGGTCTCGTCATATGCTTTATGACTAGAGTCAATGTGGTGTCGGGCATACCCATAAGTTAGGGCAGTCCAGTTGTGCGTACTTTACTTGTGTACTTAGGCAGGTTGGGCATACCCTTAAGTTAGGGCATTGTTTGATCCTATGCCATAGGTAAGGGGGTTTACTAAGGGAAAAAGAGCTGAGTGATCTAATGAACTATTCAGGTTAAACTTATGTGGGATTGTGAGAGATGTTTGTTCATGCATGCTTGTGGGCTCTCACTCTGGGGCGTCTGTTTCGAGAGGTTAGTTGCTTTAGATGCTCGCCAAGTGYTGRAGCCACAGGTAGATTARATRAATGATGGGAGGGAGAACTTGGGATGAAGATAAGACTGACCCTGCTAGGAGTTAGGATCAGGGCTAGCCACACTCTCATTTAGAGGTTGTGCGGGCTATCATTTGATTCTGAGTCATCAAGCAGGTGTCAGAAGATAGTCCCAAGTATAGTTTGCTTTGTATTTCTATCTTTCAGCTTTGTATAAATCTTGACAGCCTCCTGTTCCTACGGGAAGCGCTGCCGAAATTTCKGCAAATCTGAAARAGTTAGTCATTTTTGGACTCGTAAAAATTATGAAAAGACACTTTTCCTACGGGAAGCGCTGCCGAAATTTCGTAGAATTTGAGGAGTTAGAATATTTTTCAGCCAGGAGCTACTTAGCAGATCCATCCTGGATAGAGGAGATGTTCAGTGGCTTGGTACTAGTAGAGGAGCTAGGTTACGAATCAGGGAGTATTCCCCTTTGTGGCGTGAACATAGTAGTGTTTCTTTTTTGGCCTGTACTGTGATGCAGGTTTCCGCATTTTGCCTAAAGGCTTGATTTGATCAGCCTGATCCGTCAAAAGGATCACTTTTCTGTTATCATTGATAACAGGTCGGTTGTCGATTCGTCGGTTTACGACTCAACTCCCTATCTCTCCTGCCTCTCAACCTAAGGCCTTGGCCCTTGCCAGGTTTTGTGTGTTTCTTTGGGGTTTCACCCAGCTTCTTTATGGATGGCAATTTCCTAAGGACTGAGTATTTTTGTTGAGGATTGGTGGGGAAATGGTTGGGCTTGTGTGCATAAGGCAGGGTGTGAGCTGCAGAAGGTTGGGAATTTGACCCCCTTAGCGTGTGTGATGTTGTTTGAATGTTGTGTGTATGATTGCGGGTGTGTATGGAAGAATCGCGATTGAGTTTTATTGAGTGATTGTGTTTGGATTCAGATGGGCAAACCACACAACTGTCGTGAGAGTGAACTACCCCACAACTATCTGTTCGAGTGTGATTGTTCTTTTCCCATCCTGATAATATGATAGGCAGAGTAAGCGTACACTCAGGTAACCCTCAAAAGGCTATGCGACCCCACACATACGTCTTCCCCTGTTCAAAGATCTTAGCTGGTCGGACGTTAGTTCCAAGTCTGGAACTCAAGTTCCTTGTCCAGGACGCTGATTTTACTTGCTGACCCATGGAAACAGAAGTGCGGCAAGGAGGAGGGGCTGTCCCCCAGCAACTCGGTCCAGCGGGCGTTCGTAGTCTCCCCTGCCAACGTCAAGTACTCGCTTTCTCTTTCCTTGTTTAAATTATTTTGGTGGAACGATAAAGTTTCCTGTGGAAGGGTTGGCATGTCGCTGGTGATGCGCCAGACAACTCACCACCGCTCCGAATTCCTTCCTGCCCTAGGGACCATCTTACCCCGCACCCCTTAGGACACCTCAGGGTGCTGAAGATGGTAAGGCCCTCAGGCCGGTCTTGCGCTCACTAAAGGGTTACCCCCTGTAGCGCGCGCTTCAATCGACGCCTGAGCGACGAGAGCGATGCCATGGCTCAAATGAGGCCACTCGGGTATGGGCACTACATAGTGCGCCGACATCACGACTGCTTACGCAAATCCGCATTGTTGGCCGGTATGCGCAGGTCCTACATCCACGCAGCTTCATGTTAACCCACACGCGCCGCATCTACCAATTTTCACGCTCGAAAGTTATGGGACGAGCGAAGAGGGCAAAAGCGCGCTAGGGCCAATAGACCCAAGTTTCGGCAGCGCGAAACGACGCATAGGCAGGGTATCAGTCCAGGTCGGCCTATGGGGATCCGCGTACGAGCCTCTGACGTCTCAAACATTGGGTTGCCTATGGGTCTGAGTTTGGGCATCATCCGCTCGCATCTTTTCGCGTTGGCCTACCCTGTCCATTCGGAGCGGCTATTTCTATCTGCAGTTGATTCCTCTTTTAAGTTTTCATAGTTGGACGTTGTAGTCTGTGGTAGCCGTCGAAGTCAAACCCCTTGATTTCAGCTACCACGACAGCCCTGAAGCTGTCTACTCAACCCCTCTGCACAGGGTGCAGAAGAGGGTGTGGTCTTCAACCGCGCATGGCGGTTGTCTAGCGCCGAGAAGGTAACCCCTCAAGGCGCGTATCAGCCGACACTTGAGTGTCGAACGTGAACCCCGAGGCTATCGAGGATCGCTCGATTATGGGTACCACATAGTACTCCATTACTGTATATATAAAATTATTGATGCGACGGCCTGCATACTCATGCATTGCTAGTCGATATGAGAAGGCCCTACGTCCACACAATTTTATACTAAGTCCTACGCGCGACGCCGAACCGAATTCTGGCTCAGAGAGTTATGGGTCGGATACTGAAGGGACTAGGAGTGTTGTTGTGTTGTTGTGGTGTTGTATTGTTGTGTTATTTGTTTTGTGGCCTTCCATGTGTGTGAGTGTTGTGGTGTAACGCGTGCTATGTAGGATGCGTCCTAGTCGACCGACGCCGAGTCGCGTTTGGGACCTCAACCCCCCTAGTGCATCGATTTGCGTGCGGGTTCGATTATTGGGCGTTCGACCGCGCGTAACCCCTATGCTACAGCAAACGAGAAACGCCCTCGGCTGGGCCACCTCTGCAATTGCATACGAAAAACTTTCACATGTGGTTCAGTAGCTCGACGGTGATACGCCCACCTAAGGGATGGTGACAGCTCCCGCAGGTGGAGGTAAGCGGTGCCTCGCATGACCCTGTCTTGTCGTAGGGGCTCGCGAGAGGTACGGCTGGCGCACTCGGCCGGAGCGGCAAACGCTCTCCGCGACAAGTCCTGCAAAATCCTGCGTGACACGGCCGGGAGGGTCCCCGTGCGGGACTGATGCGCTCGACAGGTGGCGCCGTTGCCGGGGATCTCGGCTGCCTATCGGGGTTCTTAAGAGAACGAACCCAGGTTAAGTGCAGGCTGATGATCTAGGCAAAACGACAAAAAGCTTATGGTGTGGATTGTCTTATATAAAAGGATTGTGTATGATATAATAATAAGACTAAGTAATTAGAAGTGCGGCTTAAGGTTGTGTCTGAGGTTTCGAATAACTAATAGTAGAGTGATTGGCTGGACCTAGAGGTGGAACGGCTAGATAGGACCTAGGACAAGTCCCCTGGAACTTGACAAGTTGTCTGATGGGCTATCGTCTTTCCTAACAGGTTGGTTAGCAGAAGGGTATAAAGATGCCGGACGCAGATGGAATCGAATGAGGTCCGGCAGCTACGCCGGGAGATTTTGTCAAGGTCATTGAGAAAAGAGAGTTGGCACGACTACAGGTGTCGAAGGTTGACATCTTCTGGTTTGAAGGGGAAAGGATGTCCAAATGGCCAGAGCTGTTGGAGAAGATTATAGGCGAGGCGTCGAATGTAGACAAGTTCAAATTCCTACCCAGATACGTCTGGTGGGAAATCCGGCCCGAAATAATGAAGGTGTCTGCTGGAGCAGGGGGAGATTGGGCCAAGTTCAAAGAAGAAATGCAAAGGCGTTTCAAACTAGGGGATGGTCTGCTAACAAAAACAGACCTAGAAATGTTGTGGCGCGATGAGTTCTCCACTGTGGGGGCCTTCGCAACGACATTCGAAAAAATGGCAAGAAAAGTCTCAGGGATGGCTGAAGAAGAACAGTGTGCAACCTTCCTGAGGCACTTCAAGAATTGGGAGACCTTTCCGCTAACCAAGAAGGTTGCGCCAAGGAAGAAGCTGACTTGGGCTGCCATAAAAGAAGGCGTGGTAGATGGAGAGTTGGACCAAGTAGACATCTTCCAAATGCGACAGACTAGGAAGAAGAGGAAGGCCTTGGATGCCACGACGAGTGACGGACGAGATTTTAAGAAAATGGTAGAGGATGCGGTCGCCCAACTCGATGCGGCGAAAGAGGCGAAGGCAACAAAAAAGGGTATGGCGACACCACAGACCCAGGGAAAAGCGAAGAAGGCAGTGGTGCAAGAGGAGGAAGAGAGTGAGGAAGAGGAACCTAAACCTCTAAAGTTAACGAAGGCTCAGAGAAAGGTGAAAAACCTGACTCAAGGGGGCAAGGCTCAGGAAGAGGTCAGGTCCCGCAAGCGACAGCAATGCCACCCCCTGAGTCGCCCAGTCAAGCCGCGCCAGCGCCCTATGGGCCATGGCCGGGTTATGGACCTCCAAGTCCTTGGCCTGGGCACTGTTCATATGTACCATGGCCGGTAAGTGGGCCGCATGGGTCATGCGCAGGAGCGCCACTGAGCACGGCTTCCTGCGGGTGTCCAGGACCTCAGTCCCAACAGGTAAGCCACCCGAGCCCGCAGCCAAGCCAACCTCAACAGTCGGTCCCGCAAGGATCGCAAGGAAACCAAGGCGGCGGACGCGGACAAAATCAGGGATGGGGCCGAGGGCGAGGTAATGGTGGTCGCGAAGGAAATGGGAGGGGAAATGGAGGTGGTAATTCCACAGGAGGAGGAAATGGGGACTGGAATGCGTCAGGAAGGTGGAAGAGGCTTTGGCAGAGGAAGGATAGATTGGAGGAATGCCATTTGCTGGCATTGTGGGCAGAAAGGCCATGCCATCAAGTTCTGCCATGTCCGGCGAAATGACGAAGACGAAGGTTTAATCAGCACCAACTATAATCGGGACATGTACAACAAATTTGGGTACTACCTTGACCCAAAGACCCCTGGCGGAACAAGGAAGGAGGCCCTACGAAGAGTCGAGGCCGGCGCACCACCCGCTCCTCCGGCTATGTTCCGGATGTGGCAAGAGAAAGAGGTCCGCTGCGACATTAAGGTAGAGGAAGTAGGAGAGAATGAGGAAGTGGAGCAAGGAAGGAAAGCCGGCACAATCAGGGAAGAGCCGATCATAGTGGAATCGGATGACAAGATAGAGGAGGACTGTTGGAATAAGCCACGACATGCAAAGATAGGGGAAGACTGCTGGAGGGAAGCCCGACAGACAATGGAGAGAATGGAGGACTTAGTGGCTAAAGTCGGGAGGTACCAGCAGAAACTGACCGAGATGTGTGAAAAGGTTGAGGAGTGGAGAGGTAAGGAGTCATTGGTGTACCTCTATGATATGGGTCCAGGATCACAAGGTGGATCTGGAAGCTTACCAGGCATCACGATTTCAGGAACGGCGCCTCGATCCGGCATGGCTTATAGGCCACCCTCAAGGACGGGGAGAGTACCACATGCTGTCAGGACAAGGGCCAAGGGGCCAGTGAGCCCCGAGGAGCCGGCAAAGGATGTTCATGAGCCCAGTGGGGAGAAAAAGATGGTAGATGTTCCAGAGGGAGAGGATGATGAAGACAACAGATTGAGAAAAGAAGAGGACGAAAAGGCCGAGTAAAGGGCCAAAAAGAGGGGCGCCAAGCCTGACACGGATAAGGCCTCAGAGGTAAAGAAAAAGAAGTACGTCGTCCGAGTAGAGGAAGGGTTTGACGTAGAGGAGATAATGGATAGGATCCTTGAGGGTCATAACCATCTTATGAACCTAAAGGATGTCCTGGCTTCAGCGCCAAGGCTCAAGGATGAGCTAAAATCGCGATTATCTAGAAAGATGGTGGCCGGTGTACGATTAGGGACCATAATCCCTAAAGAGGCAGAATGGGCTGAGACCGGAACAAAGATGGATTGGAAGTCCGTTGCATGCGGGTGTCTAGATGTAGCAGTAAAGGGAAAGACTTACACAGCGATGGTGGATAGTGGCGCGGAGATGAAACTTATAAAGGAGGAGCATGCTTTGCGCCTAGGGATGGAGATAGATCGCTCTGATAATGGGATCTTAATGGGGGCGAACAGTCGGTTGATTTTTATAGGGACCGCATCATCGGTGATTATGGAAATCGGGAAAGTGAAAGTAAGGAGTTGCTTCTTCGTGATGCCTGATCTTGACCACCCTATTCTGCTTGGTAGGTCGTTCTTAAGTCGAACAGAGACCGTCATACTCAACAAGCATGACAGAACTATGTTCCTCGTCCTGTGCGATCCAGTGTGCAGGGACTATGAGGTTATAACTTGCAAGAACACGTGACCTAGGAGTATAAGGAACCGGCCCAACCCTGGTTCATTCACAATTGAAGAATCAGAGGAGGAAAGATTGAGGATAGAAGGCAGCAAGTTTGAAGAGGAAAGAGGGCAAGAGAGATGAAATTGATATATCGAACGCCGGGAAAGACAGGTGGAGCAATTGGAGCACATCCCCAAAGCGCAACTCGACCTTTTTTAGGGGTGGGCTCAAGCAGGGGGCACAAAGGCGGTACAAAAGGGTAGATCAAAAGTGCCGCCCTGTTCCCGTACTCGTTGCTGAAGAGCAGGAAGTTTACTACGAGCGGGAACGAGAGTTGATACGGCAGATGCGAGAAAACGCAAAGAATGGGCCGTGTCGTATCACCCCTGAGACAGAGAAGGCGCTGATTATAGGAGAGTCTGGCTTCCTTACAGCGCAGGAAGAGAAACTTATGGTGGAAACCATAAGAGGAAGGCACGTTGCGTATGCCTTCAGTGATGATGAGAGAGGTCGTCTGGAGGTGGATATAATCCCAATGATTAGGATACATACCGTGCCTCACGAGCCATGAAACTTGCAAGGTGCGTGGTATCCTAACCCAGCTGATGAAGAAAAGGTAGTTAAATACCTTGATGGGAAGATCCGCACACATGCGGTGGACTACTCGAGTGGGCCGTATGCATCCCCCTGGTTTTGCTTTGTCAAACCCAATAGGACTTTGAGGTGGGTACAGGATTTGCAACGCTTGAACGCTGTGACGGTGAGGGACGCAGGTGGTCTCCCCAACGATGATGCGCTTTCGGAAGCCTACGCTGGGAGAGCCATAATATCTCTCATAGACTTGTATTCAGGTTACGACCAGTTTCTTGTATACCCATCCGACAGGCCTATGACAGCTATGCATATCCCTCGAGGGTTGATCCATATGAACGTCGCACCGCAAGGGTGGACAAATGCGGTTGCAAAGGTCCAGAGGCACATGGTAAGGGCAATGCAGCCCATAAGTCCTTACATTACGCAGCCGTATATTGATGATCTGGCCGTGAAGGGGCCTAAGGAGAAGGATGAGCAGGAGGTGATGCCGGGAATCAGGCGCTTTGTCTGGGATCATGTGCAAGACTTGTGCAAGGTCCTGGACCTTCTGAAGGAGTATAACCTCACTGTCAGTGGGCCAAAGTCGAGGCACTGCATGAGCGGAGCCACTATCTTAAGATATGTGTGCGACGAGAGGGGTCGTCGGCCAGATACTAAGAAGATCAACAAGATTCTTGAATGGCCAACCCCGTTCGAGACTATCACAGAGGTAAGGAACTTCCTGGGCACGTGCGGATTTTAGAGGATCTTTATAAAAGGGTTTGCGGCGAAGACTAAGCAGCTGCGAAAGCTTGTGCGTCAAGGCCAGGATTGGGAGTGGGGAGATAGGCAAGAATCGGGGATAGAAGGTCTAAAGTAAGATTTTGAGGAAGGAGGTCTAGTGCTGGGGGTACCAAATCATGCGGCGGTGATGACCAGGCCTTTCATTGTGGAAACGGACGCAAGGCCAACTGCTTTAGGAGGAGTGTTGATCCAACGAGATCCCAATGGAGAAGAACGACCATTGAGATTTGAGAGTCAAATGCTTAATATAACTGAGAGGAACTACTCTCAGTTTAAGCGCGAAACCTTGGCAGTTCTTCACTGTTTAAGGATTTTCAAAAACTACCTCTTCGCCAGCAGGTTTGTACTGAGGGTGGACCCAAATGCTCTGGCGGGTTCCGTCAAGAACTTCGCTCCTTCAGATCCAACTATTGCCAGGTGACTAACGTACATCTGGATGCTCGACTTCGAGTTGGAGCGAATTCCAGGGAACAAGAATAGAGCAAATGGGCTGAGTCGAGTCGACTGGGACAAGAACAGCCAAGGAGTGATTGAGGACACTCCACCAGTGGACGGATTCCTGGACAGTGAGGGGGATGTGAGACTTCACATCAACTCCTGGTCGTTAGCCGTGGGTAACTATGTTACTCCAGGGCGACCTGTGTGGCTTGCGCCACCAGGACACGTACGACGACCAAACCTAGTCCTTAAACCCTATGTTGAAGAAGACTCTTGGGGAATGCCAGACGTGGATTGGATGATGGACCTGGCTTTAGCAAGCAAGTACCAATTACATGAGGACTTGCTCACGATTGAGGATGGGGCGTTGCAGGTGGACAAGCACGAGAAAGTGATAGGTGGGGTGTATCTGCTGGCAAATGCGCTGCTTCAGGAAGAGGTGGTCAGGAATACGGTGCAAGATCAGGAAGAGGGTGATAATGTGGTCCACGAGAGGGAAGATGATGACTTTGAAGAAGGAGAGATTAAGGAAGCATTTCGGGCAGAGGAATATGGAGTATACCTTGAACTCGGAATGCGTCTTTCATGTGAAATGAGGGAACGAGACGCTTGCGCAAGAGTTTTAAAGATGAGGTCAAACTTTCTAGTTAGGGATGACCATCTGTTTATGAGAAGCAAAGGGATGACTCCCAGAAGAGTAGTTTGCGGCGTCGCTCGCCAGATTGACGTTATGGCAGCACTGCATGACGGTACGGCAGGGGGCCACAGGAGCACGGACACGACATATCTCAAGATACACGAACTATACTATTGGGATGGCATGAGACAGATGATCGATGATTACTGTAAATCCTGTGTACCATGCCAGGAGCGATCCTCTCTTCGACCTAGGGAGCCGCTTCACCCAAGGTATGTTCGTGAAGTTGGAGCGGTCGTGACCTGGACCTGTTGGCAATGCCGCTGGGAATAGGGAGTTACAACTTTATCTTTGATGCGCGAGACAACCTCTCTGGGTTTGTAGATGGCCGGGCCATTCGCACGAAGACTGGGGAAACGCTGACCCGATGCATCGAAGAGTATTACCTGCGCTACCCCTTTGTTTCTAGATTTGTGATGGATGGAGGGTCCGAGTTCACCTGTGCGGAAGTAAAGACTCTTTTGAAGAGGTATGGGGTAATCGTCGAGTACACTACTACGGCGCACCCTCAAGCTAATGCACCTGTGGAGAGAGGGCATAGCACCATCACAAATCTTCTTGCCAAATGGACCGATGGTAGACCCAATCAGTGGTCGAATTTTCTAAGGGTCGCTTTCTTCGTGGATAATATTACTGTCAGGAGAAGCACCAGCTACGCGCCGGCCACGTTATGGTATGGCAGGCATGCCACGTTCCCTATTGAAAGCTTCCTAAAGACCTGGAGGCGGCAGGACCTCGAGACTAATCTGACGTTTGAAGAACTGCTTGACTTAAGAGCACGTCAGACTGGCGCTATAGAGGATAAAATTGAGGGAGCAGCAAGTAGGGTGGCGGACAACCGTACCAAGGACAAGTTCAGGTGGGATAAGATGGCAAGGGTAAGGAAAGAGCCTCTCAAGGTGGGAGACATTGTGCTGCTGTACGACTCATCCCTGGAGAAGCAGTGGTCACGGAAGTTAGACAAGAGGTGGTTGGGACCGTACAGGGTTACCAGGTGTGGTGAGCATGGAGCCTACCAGATTGAGGAGTTGAATGGGACGACATGGAAGGACTGGGTGTCAGGCTCGAGGCTGAAGAAGTTTGTGGCTCGAGACGAGGTGAGCATGGACCGCACCAGTTAGAGTCACTTTTCTGAGCACGTTATATAGAGACATTAATGTAAATAGAATGTATAGGCTATTGTTCTCAGTAGAATAGTGTGACAGGTTGTGACTTCTTGGTTAGACTCGTGTATGTATGTATGCATATGTAGATAGGCCGATAGCGGGGATAGTTGTAGGAGGGCTATGTCTGTTTCCTGTTGTGTCTATCCAACCTGCTTACCCTCTGGGTACCCTTGTTTGTCTCCTCCTTGTTGTGCAGGCCTGACATCACTTGGGGCAGCCATGCCAAGAGGGAGGGGAGGAGCAGAGCCAGTGGAAACCCCTCTGGGGGCGACCAGATAGAGAACGCAGATGGGCACCAGGAGAGAGGACAGGCCTCCGGTTTTCCAGGGAGGGAACATTGAGTTGTTCCTGATTGAGTTCTAGAGGCATGCACGGGAGTTTGGATGGGATGGCACCAGGATGATGAGAGAGGTGCGAGGCACAGGCGAGTGGATAGACCCCATTGCCAACCTTGTCAAGGAATCCCTAACTTGGCAGGATTTTGAGAGAAAGATGGAGGGTTTGCACCCGTCGCCAGTGGGGAGAGATGGACAACCCATTCGGTTTGACTCCAATAATTTGGGGGAATTCCTATGGGCCTACGACCGATATGCGGATGAGCTGGATATTTCAGGAGAGCAGAGGATGGGGAGCTTCCTTCTGTACGTGAGACGACATATCAGGTCGTTTGTCAGATCTATCGTGGCACCAGCCATGAATTGGGGACATTGCAAAAAGTTGTTGTGGAACTACTATACTCCGGGGCGCCAGGCAAGTGGAAGAGGGAGTCTGGAAAAGAGAAGGAGGGAACCAGAGGCGGCTGAAAGAGGGACTTTTGAGCAGGGCATATCTTCGGGGACTCAGAGGGAGGACAGGAGGAAGGAGCACAGATCCCATAAGCATGAGAGAGCAGGAGGGTCAGGTGGTCCTGGGGTGCCTCCAAAGCCTGCTCAAAGGGAGGTGGATTGTCCTATGCCAGACATAGAGCCAGACGTGCCTCGTAAGCCACATGTGCAGGAGCAAAAGGAGGAGCCGACTGCCCAGGAGAAGGAACTGGACAGGAAAGAGAGAGCGGCGAGAGAGCAGGAAATCAGGGTTCAGCTCAGGATGAAGAACCTTGCAGAGTTGCATGAGAGGATGCAACAGGGAAAAGAGCCTGAGGTGGTGGAGGACAAAAGTGGTAAAGGTACTTGCACTCAGGAGGAGGACCTTCCCCTATTTTCAGAGGTCTGGGTCAGCCTTGACAAATTGATGGATGTTGCAGGGAGGTCTGGAGGGCATCACCAGGAGATGGGGGTCAAGTTAGTCTCTACAGACCTACTCAACCTGAGGGGCATGATGAAGGAAGGCTTCGCGGCAGCCAGAGCTTCGGATCAGAAGGTCGGAGAGAGATTGACGAAGGTGGCTCAAAAGGTATATGGCCAGAGGGTGGAATGGGAAAGAGAGATTGAAAACTTGAAGAAGGAATTGGGAAGACAGAGCAAAGAGGTGGAGGCAGTTAAAGCAGATATGGAGAAGGTTTGGGCAGAAAATGAGGTCGTTAGGCAAGTCAACCAGACCCTCAATAAGGTCAATGACGTCCTAAGGGTCTACTTACGGGCGCAACAAGTTTCCTTCAAGGCGAAGGAAGCAGAATGGGAGAGGAGGATACAAGACCTCGAGACCAAGTATGCACGGCAGACCCCAACTGCAGTGGTGGATTGGACGGAGGTCCAAGGATTTGAGGTCAGGGAACAACCTGCAGAAGAAGCCTTCATATGCCAGAAGGAAGAAAAAAAGGCGGACCAGCAGGAGGGCGAGGAGATTCCCCTGATAGATAAAGAGATGTTGGAGCCGCGAGGAGAACTAGCTGTGAGAAGCTCAGAGGTAGGAGGATTTGAGTGGAGGATGCCGACTGGCCTAACACTTGGACAGGAGCCGGCGATGCCAGAAGAGAGGCCACCAGCAGAGGTCGTGGGAGCTGAAGAGGATCCACCTACGACTCAGGGAGAGGTCGTGGGGCAACAAGAAGGTCATGAGAGCGTGGGCCAGACCATGGTTGAGACTGAGCCGAGAGTGGATTTGAAGGAACGTCAGGACTCGGCTGTACCTCAGGATATGCCTCTGGTGGCAGGTTTGCGGGACACATTGGGATCTTGGGCCACTGGTTCGGGGCCAGAGGGACGTGTCGGCGAGCAGGTGATGCAAGCAGAGGACAGAGCAACATGCCCCACTTCCCCAGAGGTCCCACAACAAGAGGTCACGAGTAAGATCTCAACGGTCCCGTCATCAATACCTTTGTAGGAAGGAGACAAAACGCCCCAGAAGAAGATTGGCAAATGCTTCTACTGCAATAAGGGCAAGCATCGATCTGATGACTGCCCCAAGAGCCTCAAGGACGAGGCAAATGGGTCGGTTATCAAAGAGTCGTCTGGAGTGTGGAGAGATAGGAATGGAGTCCTCGTTCCTAAAACTCGTAATGGGGTGAGGGCACAGTTGTATAGGCAGTTGCTGGAGGACATGAGTGATCAGGAGTAGGATTTTCTAATAAGGTCCAAAAAAGACTAAGTCTAGTATACGCGAGACATCTCTGACACTCGAACTAATGGTTGTTTGTATATAGGAGGACACATGGAGGATTGGATCAGACCCATGTACATCAGCAAGTTGAGCCAGTAGTGAGATGTCTACTTTCGCGTCATAGGTTTTTTTCTGTACATAAGATGACACTGTGTATAAGTCCGACTATTTCTCTCGTTGTTTGCAAGTGTGGTGTGGAGTGTTCTTATAATACCGCTGTGTAAGGTTATGGTTCTCTTACCATCTAGACCAGAGTGACGCTCGTAAGTGTGGAGTGACTGACGATTTTTTATACCTTGACACTTGGATACCCTGATTCTTTGTTGGATACTGTGATCTTGTATTGGATACTTGAACTCTTTGTACACTACTTTGATCCCGATAAGGACAGAAGCCTTTGCTTATTGCAGGGCTCCATATCCTGTGTGCATATATGAGTATCAAACCTTGTCTTTTTGTTGTGTACAGTGTGTCACACTCACTCTCAGTTGTGGACTTGCCCATATGGATGATGGTGTGATGGAGTGAATGTTGTAAAGTGAACTGATCTGCGCTTTCTTCCGCTGTGCTTGCGCATCCCTGTCCCAATGACAAGTGGAGCCCAAAGTACAATAGGAGAAAGTGCTCTCATATTTTTGAGAAAGAGATGACATGATGTGTTTTGTCTAGATGGAATGATGATGAACGGAAAGGTCACAACCGAAGTTGTGTCTTCTGTGTGACTCGGAAAAGAGAGAGGAAAGCCCAATGGCCGATTGGACTTTCTTAAAAGAATGAAATTTGTGAGAGCACTCAAAAGAGATGCTATAGTGATGATAAATTTGTGTATGTATGTAAAGTCTGACGAGGAAAGGCCAAATATTTTGTGAGAATAATGGATGAGAATTTCTGGCAATTATGATGGAACCTTGGAAAATATTTTGAGAGATGTCCCTAAAAGACGTGTGACCTCACCTACTCTTGATCGAAGTAAGGGAGGCACGACCCTGTGGAATTACTGAGGAATTGGTTGGAATTATTGAGAAAGGCACTATCCCTCCACGTAGTCCCGTGGACAGTTGGTATGTGATCCTTTGGTTGTTCGGAAAGTTTTGGAAGAAAGTGCCAGACCACAATGAGGTCAGTCGAAGGGACATATTTTGTGAGGCCAAGCTAAGGGGTTATACTTCGCATCGCTGGAACTGTAGAACCTAACTCCCAGCGAGGGCCGCTGACCGGCACAACCTGGCAGCGGGACCATGGCTTACCAAAGGTTAAGTCTTGAAGGGTCGGCCGCCCGGAGAGGTTTAGCTAGAGGGAAAGTCATTGGGGTTGATTAAGTCAAGAGTCGGGACCCTTCGGGGTACCAAGATAGGAAGAATTGTTTATCGTTGCGTAACCAACGAGGGCACCATCGCTATATAACAACGCGATGGGCTGTGGAGTCGGCGTGATCGGTCGTTCCATGGTGGGCCAAGATGGAGACCTGAAGCCACCTGTGTTAGACTCCAGGATGGGCGTTCATTATGATTAACTATGTGAGATAAGTATTACCATTTGGGGACTAAAGGTGCCCCGTATTTTGAGAGGTCTCGGTTAGGGCCCGCGTCCTAAATTATAACCCCGTACGCGGGACGATGACTAAACAGGACACCCAATGGTGAACCGGCAGATGTCTACGACAAAGGGAGAGGACCATCAACCTACTACCTGGGAGCGGGTAGTACGCTGTAGTACGGAGCAAAGTATCCCCTAACTCCGAGGCCAGGACGTGGGAGACCCAGGTTGAAACCCTAGCAGAGGAACGCCGTGACGGGAGCAGGTTGATAAAAATACTCGAACGGAGTCAAGACGGTGAATCGGAATGGTTACTTCCTTGTCAGCAAATGTGGTTGTGTTTATAGCTTTGATTGTCCGACGCGACGGGGACGTCGCTTAATAAGGTCCAGAAAATTGTCGGCCCGAACACCCTTACAAGGGTATTTGGGCACATATTTACAGCTTACAGGAAGAACGCCCCTGACGATATCTAGGGGCGCGTCCCATTTGTGTTGACTACAGAGTGCGTGAGCGTGCACTTTGCGGGCGCGCGTTAGCCGGACCAAGCGATTGATCAAGGAAGGCTATGAGACGCCGATAGAACAAGTAAGTGTCAGGCTAAATTTTCTAAGGCGGTCGTAGCCTCGCACGCACGGGCGAAGTTAGGCGGCGGCGTGTTGACCAGATAAGGATGTGACTAGAGGAGGATGTTGTCTGACTTACTAGAGGCCGACGTTCAGAGCGGCGCCGTGTGAAATATTCGCTAACACTAGGTTGACCATGCCTCGTCAATATTAGGAGCCGCCACTAGGAACGGCACAGACTAGAGCAAAGGTTAGGGTCTCTTCGGCAGGGGGCCGGTAAAAGGGCGTTCGCGGCAGGCTATGGGAGGCTCGACCGCAACCATGCCATGATGAAGCAGACGCGTGGGGTAGGCCAAGCAGGGCCTTGCCCTCAAGACAGCCAAGGGCGGCACTACTGGGTCTTGGACGCAGGCTGTAAGCGGGGAAAACGGCTGGGGCGCAGGCAATAAGCCAACCGATGGCCTATGGTGCACTGCTGCAGGCCCGGTCCAGCTGAAATTACACCTCATATCAAAGTTAGCGTGCAGAAGTGTCAGGCTTGGGCTTAGCCCTATAGGTTACGTCACTGAACTTTCACCAGGCGGATCTCGGGATCGAGGCCAGCAGCGGAGCAGCGGCGGAGCAGTGGAGGAGCGCTTGGGAGTTAAATCGAGGGGTTGAGGGTCCCGTGGGGCTATCCCCCTTGGTTTTGCTGGGGGCGGATCCTACCGCGGGCCCGAGAGGTAGGACCAAGGGCCAAGCACCAACAGTTCTCCTCCCCTATCTGTGTTTTTAAAATCTTATGTCTAAAGTGTTATCAATATTGTTAGTTTTATTTTTATTCTTTATGTTTTATTTAAAGTTCAATGTGGGACGAGGCCGGTGTCGGGACTGGTGAGTCCCGAATAGCTTCCCGTCACTCGAGAGACTGTATATGACCAATTTGTGCACGGCAGAGGAAACCAGAGGCAGGAATGCTGGAGGAATCGAAGGCGTGAGCGACGACACTAAGGAGCTAGAGCCCACCCGAAGTCGCCGAGACCCTCCAACCAAGAAGGAATTGCCGGAACAGGGAGCGGCAAAGGACCGCAAGAAAATAGCGGAGGCAATCCTTCCCCCGAAAACTGAGGAGGACCGTCGGGAAGATAATAGTAGCATAGGAGGGGCACGACAAAGAGAGAAAAGAAGCAGGACGTAAGGCGCCGACGCGGGAAAAAGGTGGCCAAACTAGATGAGCCACTAGGACGCAGCGGCAAGAGGGCCGAGGGGGCCGCAAGTTAAGCTAGGACACGCGTCCGGGGAAGAACGGTGTGCAGACGCGAAGGGAACAAGGGAAGGAGACCGCAGTGAGGCGGAAAGACATCAGGAACACCAAAAAGAAGGTGTGGTGCCGGCGGGACAAGGTGTCGGGGACCACACGGGACCAAGGGACGATGCGGTACCGGCGGGACAAAGTGGCGGGAACTGCGTGAGACCAAGGAGGAGACGCGGTGCCGGCGGGACAAAGTGTCAGGGACCACGTGGGACCAGGCAGAAGTATGGTGCCGACACGAGACTAGTGACGGGGACCGTGAAGGATTAGGCAAAATTGCGGTACCAGCGGAACCGCCAGCGGGACAGGTGCCGGTGGGGCAAAGTGTCGGAAGCCACCAACGAGACCAAGCGTCGGGAGCCGTCGGCAGAATAACTGGCAACTGAACGACGGGGACGCATGATGTCCCGACGAAAAACGGATCGTCACCCGGGATGACGCCGGAAAAACAGTATGGACTAAGGTAATAAGAGGGTGGGGAGAAGTCGGGCGTCGACAGGAAGTTGTCGACGGAATAGAAGCGGCAGGCGTGACACAGGAAAGACGGGGGGGTACCTGGGAGGACGCAAGGGGAACCTGGACTAAGTATAACAACAATAAGAAGTAAAATAATATCTGATGGGCGGCGCCGTCCGGGCCGGGGGCCCCAGACGAAAATACTAAGTACTGCCACGACAAGCGCCGGCGGGGGGGGGTGTCAAGGGGAAAGAAAAGAGGGAGTAGCGGCAGTGAGGGGGCCCGGCCAACAGTCCGGGGTTATTCCGGACCAGCCAGGCCAAGAAAAACAAAGTTCCGAAGGCCCACATGAGGAAATGGTTGGCCGGAGAAAATCGGAGCGAGGGGGCCTCGAACTGGAAGCGGCGGCAACCAAAACGGAGCCCCCTAGGACCATGGGGGTGCCGCTACTGCAGTCCGAGGTACAACGGCCACATGTCGGCTGCAAAATCAGAGCTTGGATGGGGCCCAACAGCTAGAAAGAGGAAAAATAGCTGTTGGACACTTGCTCCATCAGAAATGAGAGAAAAATGGGAGAAATAGGGGGGAGAATGAGACAAAGGAGGAGGAATGGGTGGAGGAAAATGTGCCCGCAGGTTGGGACTGCAGCAGTAGGGACTGGCAGGTCTCAATGATGACCTCATCCCTCCTAGATCCTAGGAGGGCAGTCCAGATTGCAGAGATATGGCCCTTGGGGCATTATCTCTGCAATATCTGAATTAAAGCAACAAAAATAAGGAAAAGTGTTGATGTGAGTTGGCCGGTTTTCTTTTGGGCCATCGATCTGAGATCTGATCTCATGGTGGAAGAGATCTAGCCGTTTTTTTGTAGGCTGGCACAAAACGGCTAGCTCCGGAATGAGGTGGCAGCAAAATGGAGAAAAAATAAAGAAGGGAAAAAACGAAACTGAGTATTTGGCCCAAGAATTGGATTAG